GACTCCAACTACTGTGCTATGATCTCCCTTAGCTTTATTGTCCAGACTTGCAAATTGGAGAGAATGTTTGCACTTTATACCTCTATAGCAGTGTTTCTCAAATAGTAGTTCATGGCCTATAAGTGGCTCATGAAAACAATGTATTGGATAAACATAGAATCGAATAGGATAGGATAGGAATAGAAAATATCAGAATGTGTCATACTTACTATGCCTGAAAACTTTTGTTTCTGTTATGGTGTAGGGGTGTGTGCCTATCTGTTTATGTATGTGTGTATTGCTTGGTAAAATATACTTCCTACCTTGGGTCATTGTCAGAAAGTTTGAGCGCTACTGTTGTAGAGTTATTATGTAGGTCAGATAAACATAAAAAGTTGTAGAACTTTTTTAAAAAGTCTAAAACGCTCTGTAAGCCTAAGTTCCTGTTTAATATTGGATGCTGAAGCAAACAAGTAAGGGATGGTGGGTAAGTGGGATGGGCTGTTGCTCCACCCCTCCAACCCATGGCACACTGCAAATCTGTCACTACATTGTATCCAGTGGAGCCAGTACTCCTCTTTGATATTTTTCAACATAGCACTCTAGGCCTCAAGATGAAACTTATCTGCAACCCCTACAATAAGCTTATGTATTGTTGGAATACTTTAGGACCAGTCTGGTGTTTTAAAGTACTACTTAGCACTTATAGAGCTCTGGCTCTTGTTTAAACTCTAGGAAAACAGATGTGATCCCTTTGACAACCTGGGGGTCTCTGCCTTACAAGCCCCACAAGGGTTGGCTACTGTCTATGCCTGTCATAATGCTCCCTCTGCCACCCTCCTCACCACCATCTTTATCTGGAAGTGATTTACCTCCTTCTGCCTCTCAAAGGATATCAGACCAAAACAGCATCTCCATCTATTTCCCCTTAAAGCAAAGGTGGCAAGAGTCCCCTCTGCCAAGGCCATGTCCATGAAACATGCTCTTTCCTCATTGATTCCAGTTCATGTGGGAACTGCCTGGAACATGGGGTACATATACCTCCCCACCCCCAACAACTGCCCTAAAGTCATGCCCCTCAGGAGATCCACTGCTTCTCAGTGGATGCAGCCATTCTGATGATCACAGAAGAAACTGAGTCTCTCCCAAGTGAATGTCACATGCAAAACTTTTTCTCTGCAGCATCCAGAGGAAGCCTATAGAATTGGCAGTTCTTTCAAAAGACATTATAGCCCGTGGATGTAGGGATCTGAAAGGCATGTGTCACAGACTCCTTCACTGCAGTGTGAAGTGTACAAGAAACTTCCCTGTGTAGATTTTAAGTCATGACTCAACATGACATTCTGAGCCGTATGAGGAGGAACTCAGACAGCTCAATTTAAAAAAACAGCAGGTTCTCTGTGTTTTATAGACCTTGCTAATGAACGAGTCCCGTGGCCCCTGCTGGACCGGCTCCCCAGTGCTCTGCCAGCCTGTTTCTCACACATCTGTAAATTCATCCAGCTATAATGGATGGCTGGTGCCTGCAGAGGCTGAGGTCTAGGCCTTTCTGTCCGGGATACATAGAGATCTCAAGCCATTAATAATTCATTCTGGAGTAATGAACATAGCTGTACCAAGTTGTGAGCAGTAATAATCAAGTGACAGATCAATTTATTACTTCAGTGTGCCGAAAGATAATGGTCATTAATAATGAAAGGTGTAACTACGCCCTCCCCCCCAAAAAAAGTTTCCTAAGACTTGGATCAATGTGTCTTTTAAGTTCTAAAATAACATGGATCATTAAAAGGGAAATGAATTATGCTGGGTAACCTCAAGCTTATTTATATTCAGAGTTGCTAATCCAGAATTACAGTATCTTTTTTCCAAATGCCTTTGGGCACTGGGGCCTGCAAATCAGAGTAATTATTACTCATTAATTAAGTCTAAGAAGTGGAACTAGCTCAATACTTTAAAAAGGGAGGTTGGGGGATAGTTGAGATACATTCCCCAAAAATCATCAACAATAATTTGAAGTTTAATGAGTAAGTAGCTGGGTTGGGAATAATTGTTTTAGGCCTACTCGGAAACTCCCCTCATCTTTTAATGCCTCAGTGAATGCTCATTATGCATCTCCTGTGCCAAGCAGTGTGCTCAGCACTGGTGCTACCAAATGAGATACCATACTTCCTCTTCTCAGGCCTTGGTAGGGATGACAACACTGTGTAATAAATGCAGGAACAGGCCAACACTTCTGCCTTTTTTGGGAATAGAAGATTGGAGTAAGGTGAGAGGAAGGTACAGAAAGGAATGGGCCATTTGAGCTGCCTTGCATATTAGCAGTTTGCCAAGCAAAGAAAGCAGCAAAAGAACATTCCAGGCAGAGGAATGATATGGACAAAGGCAGAGAGGTATGGAAGTGGAATGAGAGTGAAAAGTGGATTAGTATGATAATTACCACATATCCCATGCATTATCACATTTAATCTGTACAACATTCACATGAAGTAGGTATGTTATTCACCTAACCTCTTCTTTTTTTTAAAGATGAGGAACCCAAAGCTTAGAAATATTGAGTCACTCTGCCCAGGGACCAAGAGCTGGGAAGTGGCACAGGAAGGCTTAGTGGTGATTTGAGGAAAGGTATGCTGTTTTATAAGAGTTCAGACTTTGTGTTAAAAATAGTCAGGTAGGCCAGGCACAGTGGCTCATGCCTACAATCCCAGCACTTGGGGAGGCCAAGCTGGGAGGGTCACTTGAGACTAGGAGTTTAAGACCAGCCTAGGCAACATAGCAAGACTCTGTCTCTACAGAAAAATTTAAAAACTATCCAGGTGTGGTGGTGGTAGCTACTCAGGAGGCTGAGGCAGGAAGACCTCTTGAGCCCAGGAGTGTGAGGGTGCAGTGAACTATGATCATGCCACTGCACTCCAGCCTGGGTGACAGAGAAAGGCCTTGTTTGTTTAAAAAAAAAAAAAAAGAAGAAGAAGAAGAAGAAAGAAAGAAAAACAGTGGGGCCCATGACAGGTTTACAGTCATCATTATCAGAACAATTAAACAATAAAAGCATTGCTAACCATTGACATATGCCATGCTGTTGTGTTCTCGCCAGGGGAGGTTTGAGAGCTGAGTTTTAGGTGGAGCTGCTGATAGCAGGGAGGATAAAGCTGAAGTTAGAGGTTCTTGGGTCAGGAACCCTAGTTAGGAGGCTGTTGCTTTAGTCAGATGTAGTGTGGAGAAGCCTGACAGGGAAAAATGATTATCATCCAAACCATGTTATTTTTATACTGGTCTACAATTTGAAGGTACTTTCATAAAAAAAATAGCTTGTTGATTCACTTGCACACGGGACTTTTGTGACAAGAGGGTAAGTTTAATGACTTAGCTCTTTTGGGAGGGGAAGTATAAGGACTTAGAATTCCCTTCCCACACAGAGGAGCTGATGTTGAAAGTAGTGATGTTAAAAGCAGCTTGTAAATATACATACTTGCCGACTGACTGATGCACAGAACCAAAGTTTCTTCCCCTTGCCAGGTCAGAATTTGACTATCTGCATTAACTTCGTCAGACTGGAAATGTGATGTGATTCTGGGTAGAATGGAAAACATAAGTAAAACCAGGAGACTCGGCAAGAACTAAGAAAATGTTTATAAAATATTCTTTATGTGGACCAAAAACAGGCCACTCTGCCTGCTGCAGGTGTTGCTTAGCAATCAAAAAGCAAATCCTCTTTCTAACTGGGCTGTGCCACAGTTAAAGTTTCATAAACCTAACCATGCTCTGCCCACCTTTAGAGGAGAAAGTTAAACTCTTAGCCCTAAAAAAATTATAGAAAAATACACATCTGCTAATAAAATTGGTTGATACAGTATTTCAATAAAGACTCAGTTTAAAAACCAGCACTTAAGGCAGTATAATCTCTTTTCTTCCTTAAAAAAAAAAATGTATACCAGAGAAACAGTGAGAAACACTGCAGGCATTTATAGAATTGTGTGAAAAAGTACTCCATATAAATAGCACTAAATGCTAGGGAGGTAGGTCTGTGCAAACTGCCTATCTCTACCCAATTTGTCTCTAGTTTCAAGTTAGTAATGAATAGCTTCCTTCTTGTAACAGGTGATTTAGGAAAGTTCTTGATATTTTCTCAACAAAACCGAATGGCATTAACTTTTAACTTATTTGTTGCCAGTAGATGATTTATATGTTTTTATACATGGGGCCAGCAAGTGAACAATTGAGTTTTATTGCTGTGTCCTGGTGGCCTGCGTATGGTGTTCAGATACATCTTTTGAGTAGCTGTTTATTCAAAAATATGCCTATGTCTTTAGCAAATTACTCAGACCTAGCAACTGTTGACCCTGTGTGTTTGTTAGACTTTGAGTATGTGACAATATAAACACAGCCATATAGATGAATATACACTAGTGCATTTTTATTTCTGTTTATGCCACATTTCACTTAATGTGCACCACATTTCACTTAATGTGAGCCACATGTTTAATCTGATCAGCCTCTAATACTTTAAATCTAAAGTGCAGAATTTCCTTACTTGGTTTTAAATATCCAGATCTGCCCGTTTAAAAAATTATGTCTATTTTGTGCTTATGTTTGCAAATGTATTAAAGCCATCAAGAGCTTTTCCATTTGCCATGGAGAAAAATGCTAATGATTGCAGTTTAAGCAGCTGCCAAGTACATAAATTGTAATTAAGAGGGATTAGCAGTTACCTGGACTTGCAAAACAGGGATTCAGATGTTCAAAGGTTAGTAATTTGGCAGATAGTTGCTTTGGTTGGTTGGTTGTTCTAGGCAAAATGGAAATGATAAAGAGTGTCATATCCTGAAATAGCAAATTAACCTGGATGCTGAAGATTTCTGAAATGTGGTAGATTTTCTGACTCCTGTGGCATCTGATGATGTCCCAAGTTCTGGCTCCTACAGATGAGGAGTCTGTAGATAGGAAGATAGGAAGGGTACAGGGAGGTTGGTATCTCTGTGTACCCAATTTCTCTCACTGGTACCTTTTCTTTTCCTTCCTTCCAGTGTTGCTAACAACCACAAGCAGAATTTGATGACGGTGGCAAACCTTGGCGTAGTGTTTGGACCCACTCTGCTGAGGCCTCAGGAAGAAACAGTAGCAGCCATCATGGACATCAAATTTCAGAACATTGTCATTGAGATCCTAATCGAAAACCATGAAAAGGTAATATGTAATTGATCACTTGCAGTGAAGAATGTACTTGGGGGGAAGCTGCATTGGAATTGACCTTCAGAGTTGACTCAGATTTGCATTGCCATCGCTCTTACACTGTCACGATGATGAAGTTGCTGGTGCTGGTAGTGATGGTGGTGATGGTGGTGATGATAACGTAAGGGTGGTGGTAAAGGTGTCAACCGTGGTAGTTACGATGACAACAGCAGTGGTTATGGTGGCGGCAGTGGTGGGTAAAATTGATTGAGCATTCTGTGCCAGGAACTGTGTTAAATACTTTATATATATATTGTTATTTTATCCTCACAACAATTCAATGAAGGAAGTACTCTTATGAGCCTCGTTTTGGAAACACCTTTTGCCCATTTCTTACTTGATTGTTTTCTTACGAATTTTATGAGTTTTTTAAATTTAGGGATATTGAACTTTCTTCACTTGTGTTGCAAATATTTTTACCTATAGTTTGCCTTTCAATTTTATAAATGGGGTTGTATTTTTTATACAGTTTGTGTGCGTGTGTTTTTATGGTCTGTCTTTTCTTTTGGGGAATTGGGGTTCCTAGTCTTTCTGTTGAAGGTTTTCCTCATCCCCCAATTTGAAGAATGTTCATGCAGAGCTGCCCTTATGAAACTGGGGAGGGGACATAAAGCTGCAGTCCTCTGACCCACTTCATTGCTCTTACGCACACATCCCTATGAAGCTTCTCAGAACTTGTGCAGGGTTCCCTAAAGCACCATTTGGCAGCAACAAATCTGGATCCTAATAAAAAATGCTGTTCCTCTTAAATAAAAACTTTGCCTAGAATGGCAAATTAATCATGCACAGTAACTCCAGAATCTGACCATGCCTCACCACCTACACTGATAATGTTGTAAGCCACCACTACCTCTTGTCTGACTATTTACAAGAGCCTCCTAATTTGTTTCTTCTACCCTTGGCCTGTCAATTCTGGTATCAGTCACCAGAATGAGACTTTTTAAAATGTTAAGTCAGATAGTATCAGTTGTCTGCTAAGAACCATCCAGTGGCTTCCCATTTCATACATTCGCCCACATAGTCTCTGTCCTCTTACTGTTACTAACTGATCTCATCTCCTGCATCTCTCCTATAGCCATCTTGTTTCTGCCTTGCCGTTTCTTGGATACCTCAGGCACATTCTTACTTCAGGCCTTCGCAGTTGCTATTCCCAGTAGCTGGAACACTGTTCTTCCGTAAAATCACATGGCATATTTCCTCACTTCCTTCAAGCGTACTAAGTGAATCCTACCTGGATCTCTCTGTTTGAAATTACAATCCCAACCTCCACCATTCCCTTTTCCTTTTATTCCATGTTGTCTATTTTCATATATCAAAAGACAAAATCGCAACAAGTTTAAAGATATTAGCTGACTTTTATTTGAGATTCTAGAATTGGGCAGTACCACGTTCTGTAAAATAGAATGAGTGTTCCAGTAAGTCGAGCAGAGGAGGTTGGCTTTATAGACAGAAAAGGGCTAAAGAAGAGAACAAAAAGCAGATTAATTGTTTTAAAGTTACTTTCCTTGTAAAAGTTAAAGCAGAGGGGACTTCCTTATGTGCTGACTAAAACTGGCCTGCCTGGGGATTTGCCTGTTATCTCTCCCCTCATTTATTGGAAGGTCAGACAAACAACTTATTTTTGGTCTGACGGCAAAGAACTTCAGCAGGAGTGACTGCGTTTTGGTTTGGTCTCTTGAGCCTAGGGCAGGAGCTCAGTCCAAACCAATGGCCTCCTATAAATTTTGTTTAACACATGGGACTTCGCAAATTATAGAGCATATAATAAAATTTTCTTAATGATTAGATCCATTGGCTTTCTGACCTCTCCAAGCATGTGTGCTTCAGGAAAGCAGGGATGTTGTGTTTTGTTCCTCAGTAGACACTAGTACATTGGTTTTGGGTGAATGTGCCAACCTCCAACATGGCTCCCAGCGATTCTGTCCACCAGTCTTCATTCCCTTGTGTAGCCCCCTCCACCTCTGAATAGAGCTAGCCTATGTGATCAATAGAATATTGCCAAAGCCACGGTATATGACTTCTGAGAACAGTACATGTACGTTACTCTGGGAAGGTCGTCCTTCATATTCATAGGGTTTGCTGTCTTTGTGAAAGCAACTGGAATAAGCCATCTTGACTCCTTTTTCAGTGTAGCTTCAGGCCTAGCCCAGTATAAAGCAAGGAAATATTCCCTCAGTCTTTTTTGGAAGTCTATGGTGTTCACCTCACAGCAATTCTAAGCATCCATGGCTATGCTCTGGCCTCTGGCTTTCTGGCGATAATACTTTGTATAAACTCCCTGCCAACAGAACTTAACTTTAGCCATCAAATCCAGAGCAATTTTATGTCCTCAGAAGGATGTTGTCAGAGACTTACTCTTTAAAATCCACAGTGTTGGCCAGGCACGATGGTTCACACCTGTAATCCCAGTGTTTTGGGAGGCTAAGGTGGGAGGATCATTTGAGGCCAAGAGTTTGAGACCAGCCTGGGCAAAATAGCAAGACCTCCATCTCTACAAAAAATAAAAATGAAAAATCAGCTGGATGTGGTGGCACATGCCTATAGCCCTAGCTATGGGAGGTTGAGGTGGGAGAATCACTTAAGCTCAGGAGTTCAAGGTTACAGTGAGCTACGATTGCACCACTGCACTCCAGCCTGGGTGACAATGAGATCCTGCATCTAAAATAAATAAATAAAATGTTTTAAAACATAAAAATTCATAGTACGTAAGGTCTTCGTTAATATTTACCAAGCATTTCCTTAGACTTGGCTTTAATTTTCTATAATAGAAACATACACAGACACACACACACACACACACACAGATGTCTAGGGGTGACTATTCTTCTGTCTAGTCTTTAGTGTCAGAAGTTAGACAAAATCCTGAAACCCCACTTGAAGAAATGCTTTCCAGCAGCACCTTTTCATATGAAATAAGCTTGCTTGAAACAAGCCCCACTGCAGGGCTGAAGTATATATCCCCCTTAGCGACTGGCATAGTATTCTCTCATGTTAACATTTTATATAAGGTACTTTGTGCTTCGGAATAATCATTAGGAGGGCTCTAGGAATAAATGGAGCATGGTGCTGAAAAGAAGGTGTGGAAACCCAGGCATCTAGCCATTGGAGCCACTCCATTGACAGAGAGATGGAGAGAGCCATAAGATGCCTGTTTTAATTTTCTATTGCTTTGTAGCAAATCATCTCCAAACCTAGTGACTTAAAATAGCAATTATTTTATTACTCTCAATTCTGTGAGTCAGAAATTTGGGAAGGGCTCATGTGTGCCCCTTGTGGTATCAGCTGGGGTGGTTTGACTGGGACTGGAGGGTCCAAGGTGTCCTCACTCCACACAGCTGGGACTTTGGTACTAGCTGTGGACCAGAATGCCTTGATCCTCCTCCACAAGACCCCCCTGTCTCCAGGTGCTGTCCCATCATTCAGGAGTCCAGCTCCAACTTCCAAGAGAGTAAACACAGAAACAGCAAGCGCTGTTAAGGCTTAGGCCTGGAACAAAGTATCATTTCTGTCACATTCTGTTGGCCAAAGCAAGTCACAAGTCCAGCCAGATTCAAGGCGGTAGGAGCGAGAAGCCGCCTCTGGGTGGGAGGAACAATGTGTGCACAACGGCGTGGGAGGATTGTTGACCGTTATCTTTGCAGGGGATCTACGGTACCCAGCAAGTTTGCATTTAGTTCCCTTTAGGAATGACTCTGCTTTCTTATCAGCGGCTTGTGCTGAGCTTGGGTAGCAACCCAGTGTTTTTATGGAGAGTGCTTTACCACCTCTTCTCTGCATTGCCACTTTTTATTCAACCAGGGGCCTCAGGCGTCTGGTGGTAGTGACAGTTTTAGCCCTTAAATGCCCTTTGTGAGCCTGGGTGTGGAGAACCAACTCATAAATATCTAAAATTGGAAAAACATTGGCATTAAAGAAAAAGGAAAGAGAAGTGGGTAATTCAGTTTCTTTAACCTGGTAAAACACCTCTTTTTCAATAGAAGGTAAGAGACCTCTGTGTTCTAACTAGCTAAGGCATACAATCTTTTCTGTCTTTGCCTGCGTGTCTTTCTCTTGTTTTCCAAGGGTTAACACTAGACATTCAGCCGAGGGTTAATAGTGAACATGATCTCCTTTATTTTGTCACTCACATCCACAGGCCTTCAAGATAGTACCCGCAAGTCTAGAAACACCCTCTCCCCACAACCCAGAGAATCCATCTATGTCTTCTTCCTGGGAACCATAGTGATGCGTTTCACACACAACTTGAGTTTGGTCAGATAGAACGCACTAGCGACCTGCTTACCCTGTCACAGTGGTCCAGAACCTCTGTCCTCCACCTCTCTCACAGACCCGGGAGGGAAGCAGTGTTTGGCACAGTTCTGGGAAATAAATATCCTACATTAGGAGGAGACAGAGAGGAAACAGCTAGGAGATATGATATTATGTTTGGGGGCTCATGGAATTTTTTTTTTCTATGTTGGTGATACATACTGACTGTTTACTCAATTAAAACGAACGAATCCTTTAAATGAATACAGTCCAGAAATAATAATGATGATGGTAGTAATAGCTAAGTTTTACTTACAGCTTATTGTTTACAAGATATTGTGCTAAGCAGCTTTATATCCATCATTCAATTTTCACAGCAACCCTATAAGGTTAATATTTTTAGCTCTGTTTTTACAAATTATAAGCCTGAAGCGCAGACACTTTAAGAAGCGGCTGATTAGGAGAGGAACAGGGGTTGAACTTAGTACTACTTTCAGAACCCAAGCTTTCAAAATCTACTCTAGTTAATCTCTGTTCAATGCAGTAAACATTTATTGAATATCTACCATTGGCCAAAGATAAGTAGAATAGGTTTTTCAAAGCACCCCCATTTTATCAAGATAGAACTAACCGTCATACAGTGTGTTAAATGACTTCCAGTACGATGAATAAAGTGTTATGGCATCACTGAGGAGAAATAATTTAAT